CGGTAACTTCGTTACTTTCTTGTAAAAGTAACTGTAACTGTAACGAATTACTTTTTAAAAGTAACTTACCCATGACTGCATGTGAGACTGCCCAAAGGCCTTTGATATAAATTCCATTTGTATGCCCGCTAAGTGGGGTGTAATGTTCTCCTAACTCATGAACATGAAAAAACAAAACTTCAGTGTCTGAAACACTTACGCCGCCGCTTCCCCGGCCCCTCGCGTGATCGTCTTATGTCGTGTTGAAGGGGCGGGAAGTGTCATAGACGGAATTGCAACCGCCGATATCTTGCGGTACTTATAACCTAATTATAAAGGGAAACGTGGCAAACACGTGGCAAAACATACGAAAAGCGCGTCAGTATCTTTCTCACGCAGCGTCTTGTACACCGAGTAAACGGAGTCCCGCTCCTCAACGTGCTTACAGCAAACAACGGCCGACGTTGACGGTGGCTTTCCCACCCTTTATCTGACCGTCCCTGTTTTATTTAATCCCGATGTATTCGGGTGGTAAAATATGATGCCGGCTTCTTTTTCGAAATTGCATTGCGGCACTGAACAGCAGGTCAGCCTGATCACAAACCTCCGATCCTGAGGAAGCGGGCAAACGGAAGCGATTTGGAGGCCAGAACGCGAAGCGGAGTCCTTCACTCTTAAAAAAAAGTCTGTTCGTCTACTTTCCCGCACAACACTCGGAGAGCCAATGACCGCAACTTACGGAGGCAGCTCAGCGAATGACGGTGCCGAAACATATGTTTAGACCAAAAAACGCAGTCCGAGGCGTGACATTAAGCAATGCCAAACGTCACGTTTGCATTGCTTAAGGTCACAACTTAGTCTGCGTTTTTTGATCTCAACATATGTTTCGGCATCGTCATTCGGTGAGCTGCCTCCGTAAGTTGCGGTCATTGGCTCTCCGAGGTGTTGAGCGGGAAAGTAGACGAGCAGTCTTTTTTTAGAGTGTTCCCCTGATGTCGCGGTACACCTCACCCAGTTAAGACCTCAGCAACGCTTGTGTTCGGTCTCGGAGCGAATGCGCCTCGCAAGTGGGCTTATTTTCGTGTTCTGCGCATTGGAAAGGAGTTGCGAAAACGGGAGGGGAGGTCAATGACGATTTCGACTAGGCTCCTCCCTTGTACATGTCGGGAGGGAGACTCGGGGTAAAAAACAAACATCAGCGTCGGTTATGGCGGCAGTACCGTAGCGGCGACCGTGAGTCCTTTGTTTATTGTAGCCCCGTTAAAATTTGCCGAGTTCACAAGATTGAGCAGCTTCGTGCCTTTTACGATTCCTCCATCGTTTGCTCGAGGCATTTCGAAGGTTCCTAGATAAAGACCAACAAGGACATAAAAAGAAGGCGCTTCATCACCTTCGCGATGGAAACACCATGTCGCTCCGAAACAGCTATCTGATTGTGACGCTAAGTTGCCGTTTACTTTGTGCTTCCTTTACAAGCACAAAGCTTTTTGCCTTTTCTCAGGTCCAATTCTAAGTCTCGCGTCGCGGAATCGACTGGCTATTACTTGAAAAACAGCTGCGAAGGTAGCGTTTTCACGATCCTCCGAACCTCATCTTTGCAGGTCATATTCCCGCGGGCGCAGCTGGCTAAGCAGGCAGCGCGCCCGTGGACTAGCGGTAATTGTGCTTGGCTACACGCGAAGAGCCGAGGTTCGATTCCTAGCTCCGGATGCACCGTTTTCTTGTTTCTGTGAATGTCGCAGTCTGGCGAATTCCAGAACCCTGTTGCTTATTCTAGGTTAGAATTTTCTACGCACGGAAACTTCACGGATTGTTCGAGAAGCTCACGGGTGTACATAAGGGTCTCCGCGTGTCGAGCCGGATTCAGTTTCGCCCCAGCGCTCAATCTTGCTGTTTCGCCGACATCGACGCCTGCGACGCTAACCCACTTCTGTTTTGTTTTGGGCACAAGTTCGCCCCATTAAACGTTCAGTTTCTTCAGTTAATCGCCGCCTCATCATTTGTCATTCGTGGCAATATTTAAGAATATATACTCTCTAATTCGACTCGAAACTGCACAGAAGGTGCATAAAATATGATCCGCTACTTTTTAAATGCGATCGAAGTTAACATTACATCGCCCAGTCCCGAGCTTTGATCATAGCTTCCATGCAGTGCAAACGCTGTTCACAACATCCTCGTGTTTGTAATTTTTCCCTTTTCTCGGAATTAGGTAAGACACAGTAAAGCCGAATATGTATTTGGTATAACAGTTGCAGTCCGCGATTGTAATCATGGCACTAGAGGGAAAGGCATCCAGCTCAAAATGTACCACACAAACGCGATTGTTTTTATTTGTTTGTTTCTTCTTATTTGAATATTTAAATTCAATGGTTGTAACATGCAATACAGTGAACCGACTCTGACAGTACAAATTTGGCGTTTTCCATTAACCAGTACGAATGAATTGCTAAAGAAGTACCGATGCCTTTTTCTGCTAATTGTGTCGCACAGTGTATCCTCAAACCGGACGTATCGAACAAACAATTCGGAGACTGCGTACTGTCCAAGCCTAGCTAGTGATCGCCCATGGAATTGACACGGGAGTAAACAATAACTATCATGTATGTATTTTTGTTTTGTTCGCTCAGCAGACTATAGGTCAAACAAAAGCCAGTTTTGAAGTGACGAACTTTCTGACTTTCTACCATCAGTCGTCCATTCTAGGCCCCAGATGGGTTGTTAACATCAAGAAACACTCCAATAGATTGTGGCCACTCAGCTATCTTGAAGAATGTCAAAGCACAGTCGTATTTTATTCCACATTTCTAGTCTAGTCATGGATGATCCTTCCTTGCTTCATCAATGCCTAATTATGCTAGCCACTGGGTGACTACTCGCATGATGTTTTAGTGACGATGGCATGAGAGGCATAAGTATTGTCGCAGCAGATAGGGCTGACTCTCACACCAAAGCTGTTGGTGGTGGGCCTTTCAATGGCTTTATTTGGTTGATTCCACTTCCCTAGAAACGACAATATTTATTTTGGTGTGATTTGAGTCCAAACTAGATTCGTCAAGGATGTGTCTCATCTCTTTACGGGGGGAGGGGGGGTACCTATGTCAGCTTCTTTGCACGAACCCCTTGAAACTGCCTGAACTGACAGACATAGTCTGTCATGTTCATGCTAATCCTGAAATGTAATAAGTACATTGAACCAAGATTTACTGATGAAAAACACGCACAGTATATAGAAATGTTAAAGGGTTTTATTTGATTTTCCAAAGCATACTTCGTTTAATACATAATATATGATGCTGCAAGGCTACTTGCACCAGCACGCAACTGAGTCTAGTGTCTTACGTGCGCATGCTATAAAACGAATGAGATGCCAGGTGTAGCCACTCTCGCAGCAGTAGCTTTATTATTGCTTGCCCTGATTTGAATAGAACAGTACAGCATCGCTACGAATTTTGAGTACATGAAAACAGTTTACAGACCCTAAACTTACGTTTTACATTTTTGAACTTTATGAAAATAAAAGACATCATGCCTGAACATCAACATCGGTCTCGACATTATTCCTTTGCTGAAGGGACGAAAAACATTTACTGTGAACATAAACCACTACAATCCCAAACAGGTTTTAGAACATATATAAATCATAAACGTTATTTCCCTTTAAAATGCATTCTTGAAAGCACGGAAAAGTAAGTTCTTGACATTTTTTTCTTCATACCTGAAGTGTTGAGTTGCATAATGTTGACAGCACATGTAACAATGTGTATTTGTTATGCACAGTGACTCCATTGCGTAGCTTTCAATGTCTACCTAAATTGTAACTAGGTGGAGCTGCCTGTATCAACGGCCACGCGTTCCGGCGTTCGGGTTTCATTTCGTGGTGACATTCGCCGAATACTTTAGACAAAAGGAGATAAACCAATCTTGGTGCCTGTGACGAAGGCTTTAACTTTACATTTTTATTTTATGCAGTTAATGCGCTTGAGCAGTAGAATTTCAGATTGATTGCTTTTTGCTTTATCAAAATCAGCATGCAATTGTCTAAGGCACCTTATATAAACTCCCAGTTACGTTGTTTTCTTATGTTGCTCAATTATACGTTTTTTTTTTATGCTAATTCTATTACGAAGACATGAGACAGGTGAAGCTTAAACTTTATTATTGTCCAAAGAGAGCTCCGATTCAGTCTTCATCGCTTTTTTATTTCTATGAAAAAGGTTCGGGGTTTTCTTTTTAGGCTTTATCGGTATAGGTACTGATAACACAAAACGTTACGTATATCTTTGCAGCACGTGCGACATACTGGATTGCAATTATTTCATCTTATTATTCACCACCGTCGTAACCTTCCTGTAAAGGTTACGACGAATTTTAGAAGAGCATTGTTGGCCGCTTGACAAACATCTGTGCTCTGTGGTTCTCCATTGTTAATTCTCCGTAGTTTTATTTATTTCCTTTTATCTTTTCTAAATCACGTCTTGCTTGTTCGTTGGTCTGTATCCGTTCTTTTATCGTTTGTAATATGTCCGCACTAATAAGGCTTCGATCTGTTTGTGGGCATATTAAGCAGAATAAATAAGTAGATAAATAAAAAAATAAACTTTAGCAGTTGTACGATAAGCGATTGACTTATCCGATGAAAAAATTGCGTGTTTTTGTTCAAGCGGAAATAGGCTCAGCGAGGCATGGTACGTAGCAACATTTGCAACAGATGTTGGAATAAAGCTTTAAACTTCTGTTAACTCTATGAGGGGGGGTAAACAATGCCTTCATGTTTGAACCAATATTTGTTCGGAGGATGTGGTTTCCTTGCCTATATAAATGCCACTGTGAAAATGCTAGCTTGACCTTTTAGGCTATTGTCTCCGAGAGAACGTAAACAAGTCATGCCGTGGGATCAACTAAAACTATCTAAAATTGAGAGCATCCACTTCGGCGTCGGCGGATGTATAATTTCACTGCTTCAAACTTCATCGTTTCTAAGCAATTCACCGCATTTATAGACTGCATCACTCTCTACTATGGCGCCTCCCGTTTTGCCGCTGGTTTTGTGGACATCCATAATTTTGGCAGGTAAGTTGATTGTACCATTTACCTTGCCCACCTCAGTAACGCTTACTGCAACTTGCAAATGCGCATTAGGCAACCTATCGTTTTGACTTAGAAATGTCAAAGTTATTGTCGATTCGATTGTTTATAACTTTATAAAGTTCAATGCAGTGACCTCCTCGTCTAAATGGTACCGACAGAACTCAATCTACGTTCTCCGCCACGTAAAGCCCGGATATTCAATCGTTATACCTGATTCTCGTTTTATCTGGACTAGAAACTGGTAGTTTCTAGTCTAGATGCTCTAGAAACTGATCGTTATAAGCGGTACATTGTTATATGTTGAATCGTTATACGTGGATTGCATTGTATATCCGAGCGCATTTACGACATCGCTTAACGTGGGCCACAGCGATAGCAGCTTCACGCTGGCAGAATTCGCTATCATTCTGCCGTCGTGGCGGTTTTCGCTCGTCCTCCGGATTACAGTTCTGAGGCCTTTCACGCCATTTTTGCTTCCACTCTTGATTGCCCTTTTGTGCCTGATGTGTGCTCCGTCCACGGCAAGGCTCCTCAGCCCGCCGTAACTGAAAGTTTCGTTCTTCGGAGCCGCCATAGAACTTTCCGAGATCTACAGCTTTACGGCGTGCAACTTCGTCTGCTCGTATGGTCGTGCGCATACGCCGGCACAACGGGGTGTCGGCTAGAGCCAGTGCCAAAGCAGGAACGAAAAGGCGTCTTCTTCAGGCGCGAGGTTTCCAGCAGGCTCCTGTTGTATCTCGGTGCTTGCTCTGTCCCCGCCGGCACGCTCGAGATATCGGGAGTTTTCGCGAGGGACGGCAACGCCATTCCCCGGCTAGGTTACCAGTAACAGCTGTTGCTGTAAAGCAGCGTTTTGTTAATGGGCACGAGAAATTTCACACAATCAAGACGTATAAAAAATAAAAAGAACTGAAGGCGGAGGTCGCTAATGGTGTGGAACACTGACTTCAGTCTTTTAATGACTAAGGTTGTTTCGAAAACACTTTTCAACGTGGCATAAGAGTACTTTTAGACCCTTAAAAGTCTTCGTGTTTTTCTTTTTTTTTTTTCTTTCTTGTTTTGCATTTTTTATGTAAACAGGGTAGCCTATACACTGATGTTAAAAGCAACGAAGAAAAATTAGCTGCCTACTCGGCCGCACTGGCTTTTCTGCTTTAATGCATGGGTAAAAGAGCAACACTGAAATTGTATGAATTTCCACATAATTTAGTAGAGGAGGTGGTCGTAACATTTCTGTCAGCATGCTGTGCTCCAAAAAAAAAAAACAGTGAAACGGAAGCTCCGTACAAAATCGGTTTTAATCGCGTATTCCAAGTTCGTAGATGTTCTAGCTTGGTGCGATGCATGAGGCACGCGAGCGAACTTTCTCATTTTGATCGCTAGATGGAGCTATGCATTACAACTATGTGTTGTTGTTTTCTCAGTCACTGTTGGAAACGTGCCACAACACGGAGGCATCTCGGTGCGACTACTAACTGAAGCGTTTCGTGCAGACATTTTGTGTAGCAGCCCACCTTGGTTTCCAATCAATGTCAGCTTACCTGAGCAAAGCTTTATAGACCTTTTTTTTTGTGGCGGCCGCCATGATGAAGGCTGGCGTAGCTGAGTTGGAGCAAAATAGCAAACCACTTTATTTGCCTATTAAATGGCGCTAGAATTCAAGGGGTTTGTGCCAATAGTTATACGTTTTTCTTGGCTACACCTTCTTTATTGTAGTCACGCTTAAAGTATTTACTTTAGGTTTTGGCGGCAGACCCAACTAGGTCGTATTTCATCGTTGCAACCGTCACACGAAAACGGTCTCTACAAGATGTTCAAGGCCACAGTAGGAGCTAACCCTTTTACACCAGACATAAAAATTAAGAACACGCCGGCGAAAACAGCCGTCACCATTTAAAGCCCAGTACGTCTACTCGATCCGCGCCACCGAGAAAAGAGCCATCTGGTAGAAAAAGCAGCAAAAACTAATGTAGATATCATCATTAAAGCTGAATCAAACAGCTTCGTTTTTGTTTTTTTATTTTTTTTTCTACGGTGCGAAGTTGGGGATTTTAGTTCAAGGATGAAGCGCTACCGGCACGTAAAAATGGGCTCAAAACTTAAAGCATGGGACACAAGGCGTGCAAAAAGAAGAGTAAAGGAAACATCGGGCGGACGCCCTTCGTCAGACTGGTAAAACTAAGGGAAGCCAAGAAGAAGAGCGCGAGAGCTGTCGAAACATGACGCCAAAATATGAAGAAAAAGAAAAGGGCACACCAGCAAGCGACGATCAGATGGGGAGACGAAGGTCGTGAAAGGAGTATACAATGTTACGAACGGAGAAAGGATCGAAGGAACGAAGATGGGGGATGACTCGTTAGCTGCTGTGCCCTTTTCGTTTTTTTTTTTTTTTTTTTTTTTTCGTTTTTTTTTTATTTTGTAGCGTCACGTTGCAACACCCTTCACTTTTCCTTGGGGATCCCTTCGTTTTCGTATAGTCTCACGAGGGGCGTGCGTCCGAAACGTCGCTTGTTTCTTTTTCCCTTGGTTTTGTAGATCTTATCTCTAACGCGTTTAGGGTTGTGCCTATTTTTACGGGCCGCAGCACCCCACCCTTGGATCCACTACGCTACTGAAGCAACGTCCCATGACAAAATGCTCATGACAAAATGCCGTATGAGCAGGAAAGGAAAAAAAAGGCCCCAGCAAAAAAAAAAATTCAGAGGGGGACCCATGAATACGTTTTCAAATAAAGGTCAAGGTACCAAACCTTCACTCCGGATCGACATCGAGAAACGAGCCCTCTGGAAGACGCCGACGAGGTCAAGACGCTGGGAGTCAAATTCTGAGTGGGCAGACGTAAACGCAGACGCTGTCTTTGTAGCTGCCAAGGCCTACCGACGCGCCCCCTTTAGGTGTCGCACTCTACGTATCCGTCCAGAAACTGAGAGAGAGAAGGACACTGGAGCATGCGAGAACGTCTGAACGACGACCCCTGGTTGAAATGGGATGATTAGTGGGTACACTTAAAGCTATAGCTGACTTTGTCTCCACTGCACTCGCCGAACGCATTCGAAAGCAAAATACAAACGTCTAACGCTTTCGACAAGTGCAATGGAGACAAAGGCAGCTTTAGGTCTACCCACTAATCATTCCAATCAGAGCTCGGCGTTCTGACATCCCCACGCGCTCTTGTCTCCTCCTCTCTCTCTCTTTCTCGGTGCATACGGTGCGCGTCCTGAGTATATTGTCTCCCCGCAGCCTATGAGATTTCACCAATAGCCGGAAAGATCGCCTGAGAGCGAATCACGAGGCAATTTCTCTAAATCAAGAGCAGGCACTGATGGCGGCGTTCGTCGTTTGAATATATATTCAGCACTAAGAGCTGCAATCGGTGGTGTTTTATCGATACAAGTGGACAGTGTCCGGCGCAGGAGCCTAGGCCGAACTCCACATCTAAGCAACGAACACCCGCAGATAGGACGCCTAATATATTATTTTAAGCTTCCATGAACTGAATAAAAAAAAAAGAATATTGAAGAATAATATTTTAATGTACACTAGATGTAGATAGTACTTTTTGACTAATTCTACACCATAATCACTACTCATAATCATACATAGACAATGCGGCGCGCCCAGTTCGTCTGCTCCTCTTGCAGGGGTTGTGGTGACGTAAGAACGCCAAGCTGTAATTGTTTCTGATTAAGGGATAGTGGGTAGACCTCAAGGCATCTAGAATTGAGATCTACCCCTTAGCCAATCAGAGCTCGGCGTCTTTCTGACGTCATCGCAACTCCTACGCAAGAAGCAGACGATTTGCTCTACGCATTATCATAACTTGGCACGAGCTTTTGAGTAACATATATCCAAGAATGTTCCCGCCAGGCATTCTCAGCCCTGAATCCTTCCAATAAGCTGCGTAAAAAACAGGAAGAGTCATAAAAAAGTTATATATACATAAAATTGTGATTTATACCCTCGCTACTTCTCCGTATAATAACGGCAAAGACTTATGACGTGGCGCCAGGCCCGTATACCCAGAACTTTTTCTTTTCGGGAAGGAAGCGGAGGGGGGGGGGGGGGGGGGGGGGGGGCGAAGGGGGGTCAATTTGCTTGTGCCACGACTTTCAAGCCTTGGAATAAAAAAGGGCGGGGGGGCGGGATTTAGGGATAAAAGGGCGTTACCGGTGCCTTGAGGTCTTTCTGAACAAAAGAGACGACGAGTCTATAATTTGCGGGCTCTTCACCATAAGAAAGGCTTCTATAATCGTCCTCCAGGCGCGGTCATGAAGAATTATCAGCGTCGCCGTGGCGGCAAAATCAGGAGCGCAGCCGCGACATTCCCGTCTTTGCGTGTCTATCGGGTGCCCACTGTGGGGTGCGGCGTCCTCTTGTTCTTTGACCCATTTGGCCGATGCCCATTTGGCCGATGTATTCAGCGCCGCAGGACATGGGCATGGAAAGATCTGCTCAGTTTTGCACGTGTTGAGCCTGTTAGCATGTTTCTTGGTGCAGCGGGGGGGTGGGAGCCCATCTCTGTATACCGACTTGCACAGGCCTCCCAGCTTCGATTAGTACGTGAAAACTAAAACTGTGTCAAATCTGAAGGCTATGGAATGAAAACTTTGGGCCATTGTGTCCACGTAAATATCTCGAACCGACGTGTTTATAAAAATCAAGAAAAAAAGAAAAGAACCTTACCCAACAAAAAAAAATTTTCTGAAAGAAAAATTTAAATAAAAGGGGGGGGGGGGGGGGGGGCTCGCTCCCTCCCCCCCCCCCTCTTCCGGGCTTGCGTGGCGCATGCTTTTGGATGCGTTCTCCAAAAAATGGTTGCTACTTGGGTTTTTTGTCATTTTGTCACGAATTTAGCAAGGCCGCCAGTTACCACAGACCTTCCCTAACCCCCATCCATCATCAATGGCATACGTCCGTCTTTCACGAAGTTTCATTCGGTTTCCTCCTGTGGCGAGTGACAGTCTTGCTGACGAATGACGGAAGGACTGAAACCCCGACAGGTAACCCTCTTTGGGAAAATCATTCAAATGCTTGTTCCAAGTCATAACTGCCTTAATATGTGCAGTAATTGTGTGGGTAATTAATTAAATTATGTGTAGATTAAGAAATTTCCGTCACTTTTGTTTTTTCCTCACGTTGTTAACGGAAATTAACAAACAAAAAAGCAGCCTTGGTACTATAGGAGTCTCATGGACTAGTCACCAAGCACAGTGAAATGAGAATAGACTTACACAGTCGTCCTTATTCGACACTGGCATGTTCAAACGCAGTTCAAATCATGTTTCTGATAAGCTAGTGCAATTCCATTTGCGCAGAAAGAGGTACCGCATGTTCGAATCAATAACAGACTAAGAGAAAGTTTCGGGCTTCAAAACCAGACTCTATCAAAAACGCGTTTGTTTGTTGTTGTTGTTTTTTTGCGGCAACGTCGTTAAAGGCGAACAGACTTCGTAGTCTCTTTGCCGCTATTATTTCCACTAAATAACATAGCAGCTTGACCTTCCAAGTTAATAAATCGGACTGAACGTGAACAATATACGACCTGGTACAAACTCGATAACCTTTAAAAGAAAGTGCGTTAACTGCGACGTCAGCCGACGTATAATTCCACGGCTTATAAACGCATTTATGGCTATAGGGTTGACGAAGTTTATAGTAGAATACAACAGACCCTCGAATTATGCCTCCTGTTGTGCCGCTGGTTCTATGGACATCCACATTGTTGGCAGGTAGGTGACTTTCGACGTCCACCAGGTTCACCTCGGTACTGGTAAGCGAACATGCTGTTGGAGCTGGAGACGAAAGGAACCAGCTCGGACAGCGTTTGGATTCCAACTGATATTTTAATCTAGCGCACTGCAGAGGCATCTTCGCCTCTGCGTCATCGTCTGTGCGATATGAGCAGGCAGTGAGTGTCGCTACAAGGCTCCCCCTTGTAGAGCCGGAGGCCCCGGGAGGGCCCAGGTGATGTGCTTTGGGCTGGTTGTGCGCAGCGAAGGTGGAGACTGGGCGACAGGGGTTGCAGCAGCTGCTGAGGTAGAGATGCTGGCTAGATCTGCCGGCTTGACGCGGTCGGCTGTGATCACGTCACGACGGCCGTTGATGTCGAGTGTGAATGTCTGCTTTTTGATCACGCAACCGGAACGGTACGTCGTAGGCCGGTACCAGAGGTCGAAGGACCTGGTCGCTTCGCAAAAAAACGTGCGAGCACGTCTCGAGGTCTTGGCCAACGAAGACGTTGAGCTGATAAAACGGGACGGAGAAGACGAAAGGTTTGTCGAGGGTCGTCGACGTAGCCACTGGGGTCTTCTCTTGACTCAGATGAAGGTGGAGAGAAGAACACGCCATGTGTGCGCGGTGGCGTGGCGTAGACTAACTCGGCTGCAGAACATCCAAGATCTGCCTTGAGCGCCGAGCGAAAGCCCAGCAGAACGAGAGGAAGGTGGTCGGCCCAACGTTCTTGCGGCTCGTATGTGGCAAGAGCTGCCTTCAGCTGGCGGTCCAGCCGTTCCACCTTGCCGTTAGCCGACAGATGATAAGAGGTGGTGTGGATGCGTCTGATGCCCAGGACGTAGGTGAAGGCGGCAAACAGAGCGGACTGAAATTGCCGTCCCCTGTCAGTAGTGACCACAGCAGGGCAGCCGAAACGGGACACCCAGCCGTCGACGAAGGCTGTAGCGACTGCTTTTGCTGTAATGTCGGGGACAGGGAATGCCTCGGGCCATCTCGTGAATCTGTCCAAGCACGTCAGCAAATAGCGGGCTCTCTGTGATGATGGAAATGGTCCCACTAAGTCGTTGTGGATGTGGGCAAACCTGGAGTCCGGTGGGAGAAAGGGTGAGGGGGTGATTGTGTGTGTGTGAGTTTGACGCGTTGGGGCATTTAACGCACGTTCGTGCCCGACGACGTACTTCCGCGTCCATATTCGACCAGAAGAAGCGAGCAGTTATACGTTTCTGTGAAGCGCGGATTCCCGGGTGGCTCGCGTCTGCAAGCAAGCGCTCCCGTTGCCGAATTGATATCTTCCTTGGCTCCTACGCAAAGGGCTCGAGCTTCGATTCCTGGGAGCGGACACGTATTTTTGTTTTTTCTGTAAATGTCCCGTTCTGGTGAATTCAAGAACCTTGTTGTTTATTCTAGGTCCGAATGTTCTACGCGTCGAACTTTGTCGGCCAATTATTCCAAAAGCCCACGCGTGTACATAAGGCGCTTCGCGTGGTGAGCCAAAGTCAGTCTCACCCCAGCGTTCGATCCTGCTGTTACCCCGACCTCGACGCCTGCGACGCTCTTTTTTCTTCCGCTTCCTTTTTGTTTTGGCCACAATTTCGCCCCATTAAACGTTTAAGTTTCCTCAGTTCTTTTTTGTTCGTCACGTCATTCGGGACAATCCAGAGTTTTAGTATTGCGTATAGAAGCAAACGCAAGTGCTGTGGGTTTGCGTCACTGTTGCGTGCTCTAGCCTGCGCATGCGCGTCGTCGCCATTCGCCAATCCAAGACGCAGTTTGAAGCTCCGCGCACGCTCAGTGTGGAACACGCAACGCTAACGCAAACGCCCAGTGCTTGTGTTTGCACGCATACGCAATCCTAAAACTCACTAGGATCTAAAACGTACATTAACAGCAAAGAGGCTCCCCGCTCGAGCTTTGACTACAGCTTGAGTGTGGCTTTTAAGAGGTCTGCACTCCGGACTATGTAGCCTGTTTATAACGGGACCTGAGGGTGTGCATTGGTTCCTTTAGATAATGTTCACGGCAAATTATATATTTCAAGGGTTGCTACGTGGCTGTTTACTTCTGAATTGTGCTGAAAATCGATCTGAATTATCAGGCAACTCAATTTGGAAACCGGTTCCCTTACTACGACAGCACAAGGTGTGTCGGCAAGTTTATGATAGCCTCCTGATAGTAATTAATTCATCTTGCTATTCGTCAGTTAAGAATATCATCGCTGAGGAAATCGAAGTATGTAACGGGAAAACTTCCTGCTATATTTTCACTTCTTTTTCTTTAAAATTAAAGCCCTAATTTCCAATGGGTGTAGGTGGAGGCGCATTGCGGTCGTGGGAAGTAGCTATCCAGTGCACAGTTTTTTAAATCTAAGTTTTTATGTTTTTGTTTGTTAAATGCTAGTGGATTTATAATAACTTTTGAAAATGGCTCCTTTTGGGATCATAAATTGAACTCAATGACCAGGTATTTAATGACAAAATAAATCTGACATTTTTTTTTTTTTTTTTAATAATCAAGAGATACAACCATATTACAAAATTTAGCTATATAATTCTTGAAATCTGTTCTTTTTTTTTTGTGCCGTACCGACTTATTTATTTACGCTTTCCCGAGTTGTCCGCTCCTGAGACATACAGTTCGCTTACTTTGTTCGAATAAATGGTTGTGGTGGTCTGGACAGCATGCGAAATCTTGAATTGCATACATAGTTTTTTTCGGTTATAATTTCGTCAGCGTCACTATAGGTTTCTCCTTCTTACCGCTGTGATATTTATTAAACTTAATATTCTGCTTTAATTCCAGCTTCGAGTTTGCTTGCAGTCAATTCAAACAATACAGACCCGGGTAAGTTTTAAAGTCTCCGTCTCAGTAATGGTGCTTCGTAGTGTTTGTTAGAGGGCTATAACCTCGTAAAACAATGTCACAAAAATAATCTCTAGGGACTTTAAAAAAAAAGGAGGGGGGGGGGGGGGGGAGAACTACTTTACGTTGCCCAGAATGGTTTTCGAGGATGGGGACGGGGTCTCCACACCCCCCTCAGGCGGGGTGTGGGGACCCCGTGTAGATCCGACAACTCGGATCTGGACGTTTGGGTCGTAGCTGAGCAGAGCGGTCTCCCACTGCTCCTCGGTCGTGATTACCAAAACATCGTCTAAGGGACTCCTCTTTCCCATGGAACATGCCCAAATGATATGGCGCAAATCTTAGCTGTCCGCACATAACCTACACTGGCCCGTATAAAGCCCTGGGTACCAGTGACTTTACACGACCGGATTGGTGAACGTCCTTGTTTGCAGGAGGTGCCCGGCTACCGACTACCACTTGCTCAAGGTCTTGTGAGCGGGAGATACTTGGCCCATTCCGATCTGTAGTGACTTAGTATGTCCTTATACGAGACCATGCGATCCCTCCCCGTCCCAACGCGCGAGTAGCAGCACCCGGATGTTCCGCCGGCTCGGTTAGCCAACCTTTGAGCCGCGTCGTGAGCCCTCTCGTTCCTTGGAATACAAGAGTGTGCAGGGGCCAACACAATTTGAACCTTTCTCCGATCCTTGAGATTGGCCAAGATGCGCAGTGCTTCAACGATACCCGTCACTTCGCGAAATTCCTGATTGCCGATTGTGATTCGCTAACTATTAGTTTCGCCTGCGAAGAGACCATCGCCATGGCAATGGCCGCCTCCTCTGCCGCCTCCTGCAACGACGCGAGTATCGTTCCGCCGGTTACGAGCTTGCCTTTATAGTCAACAGCAACCATGGTAATGGCCTCTCTAACTGCTTACTCCGCCGCGTCTGCGTAGACGACGTCCTATAAGTTTCCTAATCTCCTGTGCAAGGCATTCGCTCTTTCTCGCCTTCTCTACACGTTGTGGACCGGATGCGTATGCCGGGTTAGGGGAGGGACGTGAATGCAATCCCGGACGTCGCGAGGAATTTCGCACTTAACGCCAAATCGGGCTTCGTAATTGATGCCTAGCGATCTTAGAATGAGACGGCCAGTCGAACTCTCGGTGAGCCTTTCTAGCTGAGCCCCCCTCTGTGCTTCTATCAGTTCGTCTGGGGTGTTGGGGATTCCCAACGCCTCGAAACGTTCGTTGGGGGATGAGACTGGTATTCCGAAAGCCTGCTTGAACGCCTTTTTAATCATGTTATTGATTTTGATCTTCTCGTCCGCCCTCAACGCAGAAAGGGTGTCACGTACACTGCGACTCAGTACGAACCCTCGTACCAGTCTGACCAGATTCGCCTCATTCATTCGGTGCTTATTGGCTATCCTGGTAATTAGTCTGGCCGTCTGATGGACGCTCTTCTCTAAGGCGCGAACAGTTTTGAGGTTATGTCTATTGGCCTGGATTCTCAAGCCGAAGATCCTGATACTCTCCACGACCAGCATGAGATTTCCGTTCACGAAGATATCAATTTTCGGGTCTTCGACTGCGTGATGCCGCTCTCTCCACGTGGGCTGATAGAGCAGTAGCTCCGACTTTTGTGGCGAGCACGTAAGTCCCCTCGGCATTACGTAATTCTCGACCGCACCGATCGCTGTCTGAATGGTGTTTTGAATGAGATTGTCACTTCCTCCGGTGACCCAGAGAGTGATGTCATCAGCGTAAAGACTGTAGTCCAGGCCTTCTATGCGATCTAGTGCTTCGGAAAGCCCGACCATGGCGACGTTGAGAGGGAAGGTGAAAGGGCGGAGCTTTGCGGCGTTTTTCTGCCTCCCAACTCCAGATCCCCCGGTCGGCCCCACCGACTATTATCTGAGCTGTTCTGACAGAAAGGAAGTTCTTCACTCAGTCGTACGTTCTACGACCTACCTCCAATTTCTGTAAGTTATCTAAGACGGCCTCGTGACTGATGTTGTAGAAGGCTTTTGTCAAGTCCAGTTCGAGTATTGCCCTTGTGTAAGGGACGAGCTCTTGTAACCGTTAATGATCTCATGTTTTGAGGAGCAACATCACATCCTGGGTAGACAATTGAGTTCTGAAACCGATCATAGTGTGGGGTAAGAGTCCTCTATCATCGACGGAGGCATGTAATCTGCTGATGATCAAATGTTTTATTAGTTTAACGACACACGAACGCCCGTCTTGGCCCGTTTCCCGCGCAAGAGTCTTCTCCAATTTTCGTCTCCAGTTCTCCCAGTTCCTTCCCCGTTGACCCCTCTGACGCCGCGCACGGGACCGGCTTAAAGGGGTGGTGAACCGAAATTTGGATTTAAAAAAAGAAAAAGAATGCTGGAGGTGCAGGCGGGACGCTGCAATCGCTACTACACTACTAGTAAGGCGGTATCTCAAATCGACGGCTGTATTTGTGGAAAAAGAAGTCCAGATTGAACCAGGCCGACGAGGCGCGTGACCGTCAAGATACCTAGTTTCCTCCTCTCTTCGCTTCGCTCCCTCAAGGCCGCGAGGCGGAGAAGACGCGAGGCCATTTCCTCTCCTTCTCGGAGAAACATGACGTCAACATTCCTGCCAAATGCGCCTCTTTTTTTTTAATAATACGGTCATCCGTTCGAGATATCGCTGTATGAGTGATGTTCTGGTTTTTGTAGCATCCCCGTTGCACGCTTTTGCCGCGTGTTTTGGGGAATCCAGATTTCGGTTCAGCATCCCCTTAAGGCTCTTTTCTCAACATAAGCGGCCTGCCGCTGGAGATCGCCATCCGGTTCTACTACTGCACGGGCAGGCCCTCAGGTACCGACGCTCTCCGGGAGGGGAGTCCGCAGATGTCCACTGCCACCGTCGCAAAGGTCCTCCAGATGGATCCCGAGGGAGGCACTCGGGCACCAAACGCGCCGTGTACGCTACGGAAGCGACCGATAGCAAGTCCCCAAGCGCCGGCGCTCGGTTGTCGACCAGATGGCAACCAACGAGACCCCAGAAGTGTTATATATAAAAAAGAAATCAAAGTGGACAAAAATGTTAGGGCGCATGCAAGCCTCCAAGGAGCTTTAAATTAAACTCTCGTCCAGCTGGTTTTTATTTCATCTTATTGCGGGTCTCTTATTTCTTTTTGTTGGTAATGTGGCCCACTCCTTTATATTGTAATAAAAGCGTATTCCATTGCAGGTACAAGCGCAAAGCACAGAGTATATAATGCATGTACCATCATCCCGAATGAAACTTACTATGCAAGCATTCATGCCGTCAACACTTCCGCTGAGTGGCATTTGTACGATTACTGTTACTTTTATCATATCAACCTTCAAACCCGTGTGACCGGAACGGTAAGTCCTGTTGTTGTTGTTGTTGTTGTTGTTGTTGTTGTTGTTGTTGTTGTTGTTGTTGTGGTTTCTGTCGTTGTTGTTGCTTTTTGACGCGATAGCGTTCAGGAGCTCGTGCCGCAGAAAAGTCCTTGTCGGTGGTATGCTGCGAAAATAGAGGATTGGCCGATAGGGTCATGACGTAGCAGTCACATGATCTCGCGCGTGAATTTTAAACAACACACAACGCTCACGTGAAACGTGACGTCACGCTTGGAATGAAAGTGGTTAAAAACATTAGCTGTCATGAGAGTTAAAGGTCCCCGCATGTCACAAATAATTTCTCTTATAAAATTATTTGTTTGCCTTAAAGAAATATTGGAATAATTTAGCCGGGATTCGAACAAACGACGCTTCGGTTGCGTGCGAGACACGCTACTGTCTAGGTTATACGTTACTGACTAGGCCACGCAACTGACTAGGCCGCCAGCTTTTACACACATGGTGCGTTCGCTGAGAAACTCGCATATGTGGGCCAAAGGCCGCCCGCCCACCACGCACCGACGTAGGGCTGAGGTGATAACCCTATGTGGAAGGGCGTCGAAAGCATTGCTGTTGTTCAGAAAGATGGCCATCGCAGAACAGCCTTGCGCCTTAGCCAGCTCCAACGTGGTGGTGAGGCCCCCGATTGCGTTTTCCGTGACACGCTGGTGCCGGAAACCCGAAAAGCAGCCTGGGAGAGCCCTGACGATTTCAAGATGGTAGATCATGCGACGCGGCACCATCGGCTCCATTTCCTTGCCGAAGCATGATGTCAGGAAAATTGTCCTGTATGAGCTTAGCTGGTCCTAGTACTTACCGGGCTTTAGAAGTAACACCAGAGTTGCCTCCCTTCAGGCGTCTGGCAGTTGGGCTGTTTTACATACCTCATTGATGAAAGCCAGCATTGCTGAGTGAGCAGACTCGTCTATGTTTCTTAGCACCTGGTTGGTAACACCATCCGAGCCTGGCGCCGCGCGGTGTCGGGCAGAGCGTTGAGGGCGCGCTACAGTTCGTGTAGTGTAAAGTCTGTATCCGTATGCTGCCTGGGGGGTGCCTTGGGGCGACGAAACTCGCTTTACCCTTCGGGCGATGGGCCCGCGGTTCGCAAGGGGGGAACCTTCGTGAAGCCCTCTGCGAACAGCTCTACCATATGTGTCGGCTGAAGGCTCATCGTCACGGCCATTCCAAGAACTGGACTCCGGAGAATGGGGCGACTTGCCAGTGTTTGCGCCATCCTCCAGGTCCCGCTTCCTCCGTTTGGTTCGTCCAAGGTAGCGCCCTTGAGGCGCCACTGTCGGTGTGCCAGTTATTAACGCGATGGCTTTTAGGAGCTCGTGCTGCAAGAAATCTGGTGTTGGCGTCACCGTCGGTAGGACCGAAAAATCCCATAATGCAAAACGCGCAGACACGTGTGACGTCACACGTGGCTGTGACGTCATGACCCTATCGACCCGCTAAATTTGAAGAAAACGTTTTCGCCAAATTTATCGGAAAAATGTTTCTGCAAATTTTGGCTGGAAAGTTTTAATGAAAACAGCGACGTCATGCGACAGTAAAATGGATAGGCGGGCCAGTTGGTACATGTTTAACTTGTGAATCGCCTAAAAAACGAGGAAGATGAGACAGGACCAAGCAAAAACTTACAACTGAACTTTCTTGAAAAGCACTTACGCGACGTCATGCGACGTCGCGTAATACGTGGCGCTACATACTAGACCACGCACACACGCTTGCATGGCTTGGCAACGAGCGCAGGTTAAATGAGAAAGAAGTCTTTGCGAAGGGGGCGCGATAACGCTATCGCGTTCCACTCTCTAATGCGAAGCTTAAGCGTCTCCTAATTTTTGTACATGTCTCCTGAATTTGGCATTCAGTCGCCGGTAAGCCTAGACGTCCACCTGACTCCCAGCATTCCATGACCGTCGCTGGGATCGTCTACTTCTTGCCCGTAGTTTTATTCGTTCGAGGTCTGGAGTGGGCCGTGTTCTTGGAACTCGGACCTCTCGGGTGGCCGCGCGGAGGGCGCGAGAGGGTGTTTTTGAAGTGAACTGCTGCCCCGCATTGAGCGCCTCACCGTGCGCGGTCCTGTAGATGTGCCAGTCGACCACCTGGCATGTTTTCAAGGGGGCTTTAGGTGGCTTTCCTATGACTATCGGGGGATGATAGCTCCCCCAGCTTTCCGTCGGAGGAGTCGCGCTGAGCCGTCGCGCCCAACCCGTAAAGGTTAGGTCGATTACACTCCAGTGACTCCGGGGCGTACAAACGTCGGGCTCCCACCGGTGATGTTCCTTAGGTCGAGCCTGTCCAGCGTTGACTGCAGTTGGCGCCCTCTCAGGGTATCACTTCGGTCCCCCAGGACTCATAGTACAAGTAAAGTACAAGAACGAATCAGGCGAGCTGATTCGTCATTAGCTCGCCTGCGTCTTTACTCTAATACCCCAGGACTGTGAGTGCGCATAGAAGTCTCCTGCTACTATCAGTTCTCCTTTCGCTCGTACACGCGGGCCTCCAAGTACATGAGTATCCCAGGGAGCACAAAGGGCCGCGTATGCCCAGAAGAGGGGTGGCCAAGCTGACTCTGCCAAAGAGCCGCAAACAAGACCATAAAACTTGCAGCAGCCGCCCGGGAGGGGGGGTTGTTCAGAGCAATAAAGCAAAACTCGAACGACTTTCAATCTATATGAGTCAAAAACAGACTAACTGTACGTAAGCTAGCTGTAGCACAAGGCTACATAACCGCAACCTGTCTTTCGATTTAAAATGCGCTTGATTTCTCCTTTTGGGGAAGTGCTCGTGTGATCGGGAGGGAGGCGAGGGAGCAGGGCGGGGGGGGGGGGGGGGGGGGGGGGGGAGAGCCGCGAGCCGCACTTTAGCACGCGAAGAGCCGCAGCTTGGCCACCCCTGGCCTAGACGATCGTGAGATACCGTTCTTCCAGCTCGGCAGTCACTGCCGCGAACTGCACGGCCTGTTTAAAGTGATCACTCGAAACCATCTCAATTTGTGAAATTTGACTGTGTACTAGGAGGGCGGCCCGCGGCAGGGGCGGAATCAAAGGGGGAAGGAGGGGGGGGGAGGCGACAGGGGCGGCCGCCGCCTCCCCCCCCCCCCCCCCCCAAACAAAGTCGACCTCCCCCCTCCCCCTTTTCGGAGGGGAATTTTTACATGGGTGCACCCTCCGGTGCGCACGAAAGAATGAGAGAATAGTAGTACCCTTACAAACTTTCCGCCCCCCCCCCCTCCAAAAAAAAAAAAAACACGAAGTTGTGGATCCGCCCCTGGCCTGTGGTTTCACGCTTGGCCGAGGGGACCTGCTGTAGTTCACTACGTTACGCGAGATCAGTATGCTTCCAACTGGCATCCTAGGTTCTTGGAGGGCCACTGAGTCATGGGCATTATGTCGGAGGTGATTTCGCAGTTCTGAGAATCGCGTTGTCAAACCGTTACCGTTCCCCTGGAGAGCAGAACAGCTGATGGTGTGGTGATGAGAGGAAAGAGGATGTAAGCGAGGGGAGAGGATGCGGAGGGTGCTGGCCCGATCATCGTTTGTCCGTGGGACAAGCTGTGAGTGACTGGCTGCTGGGGGACCAGCGGCCAGTCACCCATAGTGCGCATACTGAGGCAAAGAGCGGAGGTGACGCCGTTGTAAGGGATGGCTGCTGGAGAGCTTTGCATATTGTCGTTCAACATTTTTAATACGATCCCATGAATAAGAGTATCATGGGAAGGAAAGTAATGGTGGTTTGTGCCCTTTATGTCTTAGAATGAAACACAGGAGGGTGCGGGTCGCACGCATAGCTGACTGCACTAATTGTTTCCAACCCTCGGTTATTGTTATCGCATGATCAGAAAGAGAGTCAGAACAGGCTTGTCGCTGGGAAGAGCTTGTGCCTGTTGTAGACCGTTTTGGCACGTTTTATTTGGAGCTCCTCATTGTAGGGTTTCCGCTCCTACAACTGAGATGTCATCTTGGTAGATTTTTCTTGACTTTAAATCGCTGAGGAATAACTGGCTTTGGCAGATCATTCTCCGAGCGGTTTATTTTTATCGGTCGCGGTGTCTGGGACGGCTGGATACTTCCTGTCTCTTGCCTAACCCGCTTATGCTGAGGTATGGCGGTCTTTTCAACGTGGTAGTCAAGTTCATGTGTTCGAGCGTAATTCCTGGCATCCTTCTTCTTCCATGATATTGTAGTGAGTGCGCAGGCGAGCTGGTGGAAATTAACCATTCTGATGTTAGCCTGAGACTGAGGCAGGAAAAGAGGAAGTTTCAAAGTAGAAGAAAAAGGAACAGTCGAGGATACGTCTCTAACACAGCTAAAGACAAGTTTATTCGGTCACCCTCTTATATACACTCCAGAATCTAGGTGAAGATTCTGGAGTGTATATAAGAGGGTGACCGAATAAACTTGTCTTTAGCTGTGTTAGAGACGTATCCTCGACTGTTCCTTTTTCTTCTACTTTGAAACTTCCTCTTTTCCTGCCTCAGTCTCAGGCTAACATCAGAATGGTTTTCTTCTTCCACTCCTCAGCAGGATGGAGATGTGGCCACAAGAGCCCCTCCATATTTGAAGCACTTCTTTTGTGCAGAACACATGTCGCCTTCGTGGGTGTCTCCGCAGCGGTTGCAGATGCAGGGGCCCTTGCAGGTTGATTCACGATGTCCATACCCCAAGCACTGGATTGAGCGTTCCTTATACTCGAAAACCGGATGACGCAGGTGGCCGAGTTTCACATAACTTGGCAGTGTTGATGTGCAGAGTGACAGTTTCAGTACAGTGGTCTGGCCAAGTCGGTGCACTAGCGATTCCACCGTCCGGCGATCTACAATTCAGTTCGATGTCGTCAACCGGTAGCTCTTCGTCGACGTCTTGGATCACTCCGATTGCGAAGTGGCGAGGAACGGTCTCGTCCGCTCTGACTTTGAGGCCGCAGATCTCAGTGCAGGAGAGTAGCGATCGCGTTGCTTGGTCATTACGCGTATCGACCACGATGAGGTTGTCCGCTATTTGTCCTGATCTCGTAGATGCACTCCGGGCATTTCTGCTCTAAATCGACTGACATCTTAAGCCTGCTTAATTTGTTATTACGCTAGTTGTCAGTTGGCATGAAGATAACAGTCATACCCTCTGCGATCACATGGGGGCTTGACCATTGTCGAAGTGCTGCCGCTCGAGGTGGAGCCTGGTTTCTTGCGCTTCTTGGATGCAAATGAGTCAAGCCAGTCACTTTTGTTGGGGTCTAGAAGTTCCGTATCAGCGCTGAGGTCCTCAGCCCGGTTAGCATTGTAGTTCTCGCCTCCAATTTCAGCGCATATTGAGAAAGTCATGCTGTACTGGTAGGTGGCCGTTTTTTGACTTGCCGTTGTGCTTTCGGTTGACATTGCCAGGTTGATTCCGGTAGCGAAGGGGTAACATTGAGCGGCAAACCACTCCCCTGAGAGGCGGAGATAGCCTTCTTGTGGATGCCTGGAGCTAGGAATGTGTAAACTGCTCATAATTTCAAAATATGCAGAGCGGAAGTTTGTCTGTTTCATTTGCAGGGGTTGTGGTGACGTCAGAATGCCGAGGCCAGATTGGCTCTGACTGAAGAATAGTGGAAAGACCTCAAAGCAAGCCATCTTGAAGTCTACCCACTATCCATCAATAAGAGCCAATCAGAGCTCGGCGTTCTGAAGTCAACACAACCCCTGCAAAAGAAGCAGACGAGCTTGAGCTTTGCACTGGTCCGAAGAAATGAGCCTACAAAAAAAGCTGCCCCCCTCGAAAAGCTTCATTTTCTTCGATCACTCGAAATACGTTTACGAGAGCTTTAAAAAACTGGTGCGGCATGCTCCGTTAATCCTTCTTGCCTCGGGATTGGTCCTCCGGTGTTTTTGTTGGCTAACGCTGCAATCTCAATGGCCATGAAGCGCTAATAAGATGCCACAGAGTCTCTACGGCTTGCTTTTCTTTTCACCTATCAGTGCCTTTAGTTCATACTTGTTATGACACGTATTTTTATATTCACTGTCTTGTTTCTTGGTGTGTGTGCGTGTGTGTGTTGTGTGTTTGTTTGTGTGTGTGTGTTTGAGGTTAATCACTGAAATACACTTCTTCATCCAAAAATTTCAGGCTCTGAAGGAAAACAGGTGCTGCAGGGTGTGTTGCCGGGTAACCTTGACTTTAGGAAGATACGCGAGACATCTCCTCTCAGACCAGCATGCCCCGTATGGATTTCCATGTGGCCCGAACAAGGTGCGCTATAATCTGAATTCAGTAAAATGACGAGCAAGACGACAACGAGACGACTGAAAGTTTCAATATGATACGGAGCTTTATTACGGTGCCCGGAACGAGTCTCCGTCTGGTGTGTTCAGCGTCCTATCCCGCCCATACATCGGAACCGGTCCGGAAGTGGCGACAAATGACGTCACAGAAGGCGGAGTGTCATGCTGTCGGCTCCTGGTGGTTGGGCGTAGAAGTTCAGGCGAATATCTCGAGCGAAATTCGAGTGTCACAGTAATGGTAGCGTCCCAACTCCTGGTTACCCAAACTTTCGTTGACTGCCAAGTTTCAGAGCGACCTGCAGCAGAGCAGGCTTCTGCCACACCCATCACCGCTACTGTGACACCGCCAGGATCGCGGCAGGCAACAGCGTGACACTTCTTTGACGTCATCAGGCGGAAATCGGGGGGACCATATTTCTGGACGCAATAAACGCACTAGTCAGCGGCGTGTTCCAGGCAATGGGCCTTTTCCGGGGTTTCCACGGCGCATGCGCAGCAGTAGCAGACAGGAGTCCGCCATTTTTGGTGGCGTAGTGCGTCCGGCTCGGGACTGCTGGAGGCAGCGGTGGTCGCGCGTTTCCAAGTTCTCCGACATGCCCCAACGCTGTTTCGTTGTTGGCTGCAGCAACGACACTAAACGTTGTCGCGGTTTAAGCTTCTTTGGGTTTCCTTCTACTAACCTGCACCCGACGAAGCGGCAGCTCTTGATTCGGGCGATCCAGCAACACAATGCTCACGGTGTGTAAATGCATTATGCAGCCTCCAAAGCACTCCCGCGTTTGCAGTTGCCACTTCAAAGAAGGCTCAAGTTTTTGTTCCTTTATCTTTTTGGGGGGGTGTAAATACAAGTCAGCAGATTGGTTAGGTATGCTGTCGTGTCGCTTATGTGCCGCGCAGAGCGAACGTCCCGGAGTTGGCGTTTCTGGGATGGTGCGTTTCACTGGCGCACGTTTGTGTTTACTAATAAATTAATGTGACGGTCTCGGCGTTGCTACGCAAACTGCCGGTATGCATTTTTGGTTGTTGTAAACATTGGAATCGCCCACAGCTTCCAAATATTTATAAAGCATTGAGGTAAAGTGGCTATGCTGCACAGTTTGTTGCTACGTGCACACCCAGAACGTGAAATTGGAGCTGCTCTTTCACTACCACGACCGCATCTGCTAGTCTTGTGGTTAAATAAGAGGAAACAATCGTCTTCATGTGTTGTCTTTAAGTATGTATCAAGTAAAAAAATTTTTGCAACAATCTCTGCAGGCGCCAGACTGAAAAAAAAAATACAGGTGTGGCCGATTTCGTGTTTTTCTAGGACCTAGTCCCACACAGCTGTAGCCTGAAGTGGGGGTAACATTAATGACGAGGCTCGCTCAGAATTCGGCGGCTGCACGTATACATCTTAAGGCCCGTTCACACTCTTGCGACTGCTTGCGACCTCTTAAACCTGGGTTCCTTAAAACTTCTTAAACCAGAGAACACACTGGCGCCATCTATTGGGAAGCAGTGTAAACTCGGAGGTCCGGCATATTTTTTTTTTTTTTTATTTCTCGCGCATTATCCTTTCTTTTTTGGCTCGAAAAATTTTTGTCAATGTTATAAACGAGCCTTTCTATGGGTATTACGCACATTTGACCTCGGAAATCCCGCAAAACCTTCGCTTTTGTGAAATGCAGTTCTAGGGTCACCGCATAGATGGCGCCACAATGCCCAGTGTGTTCCCTCATTCTAGAAACATTTAAGAAGTTGTAAGAGATCTCGTCTCTCTCAGTCGTACTCGGTCGCAAGAGTGTGAACGGGCCTTAAGTATGTATCGAGTGAAAAAAAAATTTTGCAACATTCTCTGCAGGCGCGAGACTAAAAAAAAAAAAAAAAAAGTACAGGTGTGGCCGATTTCGTGTTTCTCTAGGACCTAGTCCCACACAGCTGTAGCCTGAAGTGGGGTAACATTTATGACGAGGCTCGCTCAGAATTCGGTGGCTGCACGTATACATCTTAGATATTTATTAAACATGCGCTTTAGTGGTGAATTTGACCTTGCGAAATTTCGAACTGTTGCTTCCTTACAGTAAAAAAACGTGAGACCAACCAACTCGCCAGGGGCAGCGGCGGGCACTGAACGCGTCCGCCGTTGACCTGGCCAAGTTCGTTGGTCTCCTTTTTCTTTTTTTTTTTTTTTGGAATGGAGCTACGCGTTGAAATTTCACCAATAAAGTACAGCATTATTGGAAATTACATTTGTACGTGCAGGCACCAAGTTTTTCGGACGAAGTAAGCCTTTACAATTTTGAAAATACATCGTGTCATTTACAAATTTCGGGCAAATTATACAAATAACTTGCAATTAAAAAAAAAAGATTTTTCTAACTGTAACTTGGTTTCGAATATTATCTGAATTTATTGCCGGTACCGCATATAACATGAATCCTAGTTTAATGTAACCGTTTGTACTTTCTCACAGGTCGAAGAGAGCTTCAACTGTGCCGTCAGTCACAACGGGCGCCACGGCGAAGTCCGTCGTCCCGTTCGGACGACGGGCTTCGCCGTCGTCCGAACATTCGGAAAAAATGTACAAACGGACGAAGTCATCCGTAGTTAACGCATTAATAGAAGACAAATCTGCTCGTCGATCCCGTTGGATAGAGTAAAACAAACGCTGAGCGCATTTACCGACCGCGTTCAGACAGCCAACGTAGCTTGGAACGGGCAGAATCGGAAGCAAGGCAGGCCATCAAAAATGTTTCTCCTGCTTGCCGATAGATGGCGCCCGACATTTTCGGAAGAGGCTGGCATTTCTGGATATCAAGGGTGCCTATGACAATGTGAACCAAAGAAACCTGTGGGACATAATGGAGAACTTAAACCTAGATGAAGGACTAACAGCACTATTAAGGAACATTTACAAAGATAACAAGGTGATTATAACATGGGAAGGAAAGGCGACAGGGAAAATAGAGATAAGACGAGGCCTTAGGCAGGGATGCCCGTTATCGCCTTTGCTGTTTATGTTGTATCTGAGAGGATTGGAGGATAGACTAGAGAAGAGTGGGCTTGGGTTCAACCTTTCTTACAGTAAGCTAGGCCAAAAAATTCAGCAATCCTTACCGGGATTGATGTATGCGGATGATATTGTACTAATGGCTAACAACAGGACAGAGTTGCAGGAATTAATGAGCATCTGTGGTAGGGAAGGAGAGGAATTAGGTTTAGAATTCAGTAGCGAAAAATCGGCAGTCATGATTTTTAACGAGGATGAAGTTGAGAGGCTGAAGATACAGAATATTACAGTTGAGAGAGCTAGTAAATATAAGTATCTAGGAGTATGGATATGTGATGGTGCAGAATATCTCAGAGACCATGAAAAGTATATAATAGGTAAGGGCAACAGAAATGCAGCTGTAATGAAAAATAGAGCACTTTGGAATTACAACAGGTATGAGGTGGTGAGAGAGATTTGGAAAGGGGTCATGGTGCCTGGCTTGACTTTTGGAAACGCAGTGCTATGCATGAAATCCGAAGTGCATGCGAAACTAGAAATAAAACAGCGCGGAGTAGGTAGACTGGCTTTGGGGGCGCATTGCAAAACGCCAAACCAGGGAGTACAAGGAGACATGGGATGGGCATCATTTGAGAGCAGGGAAGCGGTGAGCAAGGTAGAATTTGAGGATAGGTTGAGGCTAATGGATGGGGAGCAATGGGCACGAAAGGTTTTCAGCTATTTATACATGAGGAGTGTAGACACAAAGTGGAGACAGCGCACTAGGAAATTAAGAGGAAGGTTTTTGGGCTATAGCGAAGATACGGAAGAGCAAGTCTCAGTTAAGAAGAAAGTTAAGGCCACAGAAAGAGATCGGTGGCTAGAGGGAATGCAGACAAAGACTGCTCTGGAAAGCTATAGATTAAACAAAAGAGTTATTGCCAAAGAAAGCATTTATGACAATTCTAGGGGAAGCTCATTGCTGTTTGAGGCAAGAACGGGTGTTCTGCGAACCAGAACATACAGAGTGAAGTACCAGGAAATTGATACAGTGTGCACTGCTTGTGGAGAGGAGGACGAGACGGCTGAGCACTTGATACTCTACTGTAAAGGGCTTCACCCTATGCCTACCGAAGACAACATAGATTTAATAAAGTCATTGGGTTTTAGAGACAGCAAAGGGAGAGTGGATTTCAAGACTGTAGAGATTACCAAGCAAAGATTAAGTGAATGGTGGCAGAAATCGAGAGAAAACTAGGTATTTTCTTAATCACTGATGGCAAGGGGGTTTCATAGCCTCACTTTCTTTGCACTGCGGAGTGAATATAGATTTCACATTTAAATATTCTAAGCTTAAATGGTAAAACAAAATGGCTAGGTGGCGTAAGCTACCGCCCGATCCAAAGGGTTCAGCCGTATGCATCCATCCATCCATCCAGAGGCCCATTTTCGATTAATTTTATTCTAAATCAAATTTAGTTGATGTAAATTAGATTTTTTTTATTTAGATCGATGTAGCTCAAAAAGAGAAACTCTTTATCACAAGATGCGCATTTTTAAGCAGGCAGATTTAATTACCAAACCGGCGGATCAGCGATAAATTGCGTAAGAAATATTTACCATAAATTTATGATAAAAAAAAATGTTTATCCCGACTTAACATAACAAATTAATAACAAAAAGGTACACACGTTTCGCCACCTCTGCAGGTGACATGTTCAGTATACACTGACAGAAATGAGGCGCGGTCGACCAGTAAGTGTATTCTAACAAGCAGCTACGCGTGGAAGAAGTAGAAAACGTGGTTGGCGCGTTAGATTGACGCCATTATCCCAGGACGTTTATTAAAGAAACGCAGAGGTGAATGCAGAAGGGAAGGGGCAGTGAGTCACGTGTTCGGGCAACGTCTTTTGTATCTACTCCCTATGTCCAGGACGTTTCAGACGCTGTTCGGATAGCTCTGCGTCCGCTGGGCGTACAAACTGTTTTAAACCACATTACACCTTGGCGAATGTGTTCCCGAAACCGAAGGACCGTACCCCTGCGGACGGTCAGAGCGGGTTCCTATACAAAGTGCAGTGCGGGGATTGTACGCGACTTACATTGGCAAAACGGGCAGAAAGAGGACTACGAGACTGAAAGAACGCAAAAGGGACGTTGCCAAGGCCACAGTGTGCTAGACAGTGTTAGACAGGAGCAGTGTTAGACAAGATCCTAGGCGGATCTTGTCTAACACTGCTGGACGACAGTACACAGTTTCGACCTGGATAATGCGACGACGCTGGCCCGAGAACAAAGGTGGGGGCAAAGAAAATTCGTCGAATCCTTGTTCATCCGTCGTGTCGCATCGGTGTGCAACACCAACCGTAGCCCCCTGCCGAACGTTTACGAGGACGTGTGTGATAAGTAGACTTGTCGACCTCGCCTCATTTGTGTCAGTGTACACGAAGATGCCACCTGCACAGGTGGCGAGACCTTTTAACCTTATTGTTAATAATTTGTTATGTTAAATCGGAGTAAACCTTTTAGAGCGCAGCTCTTGGGCGCCCATTTCCGGCTTGAGCGGCGTCGGCGTCGCCGTCGCCGCCGCCGTCAGCGTATCCGCGGGCACCCCTCCCCCTCCCCCCAAGGACCTCGGGAGGACCTCGGGTTCCTTCGAGAGGACCTGGGTACCTTCGGTGACCTCTGGGAGGTGGGGTCAGGTGACCCCCCCCCCCCCCATCCCCGAGGTCACGTGACCTCGGGGGGTCACGTGACCTGGGAAAAATACGACGCCGTTTCACACGGGAGACAAAAGATGGCACAAGCGGTCGCGACGCCAAATGCCGCCAACGAATGAGCATTCGGCGCCGAGAGCCGGCGTTTTTAGCACACGATCTTTTCGGCTGAAAGCTGGCGCGCGTTCTGCAGGCGGCGACAGTCGCAGAAACAAAAAGAGGCGCAGGAAAAACAAGGAACTGCAATGCAGAAGACATCAGTACCCCGAAAAAAAACAGTCAAAATATCCCGACAAACCATTTTTTGAATCGAATATGTGTCCGCTCAATATGTTTTATAAGTAAGGATGATAAAATAATGCATCGGCAACTGATATCACAAACGCTCGCGCCGCTTTTGAGTCAAAAAGAGCGTCTGCTAAAGACGAAGAAAAAAAAAAGCGCCATCTGTGGGCCACGCTGCACAAAGTCGTAGCGCGACAGGTTAAGAAACCGAATTTTCTGGTCGATTTGAAGAGCCTGACCTCTCCTTGGGACACCCAGTATAAAGAAACTCACGTAGACAGAGAGCGTCAAATGATGGACGAATATTAAATAAGACGTATATTTGCATGTCTATTTTTTTCGTAAAATATTTGATTTAAATTATCGTAGTAAAATCTGTGTCCTTGAAATCACAAACCCCGGGCCGCGGGCAAGACACGGCCCGCGGAGTTCTTCCGAGCGGCCCGCAGCTGGCCGCAGTCTTTCCGATTAAGCCCGGCCCACTGCCCGCTTCGAGCAGACGCGCAGCTAGCGGTGCAAAAAGAGCTGCGAGTATCGAAACAACGCCGCGACGCACTCCAAATGCGAAAAGTAAGATACCAGAGAGATGACCCAAGCCGCACAGAGTTGGCCAGTCATCGGCCAATGGCTGGCGATGGTCCTTGGCCAAGTGGCCAGACAGTGGCCAGAGACTGGTCATTGGCCAATGGCCACTGGCCATCAGCCATCGGCCAAGCATTGGCCAATGAATGGCCACTCTCTGGCCACTAGCCAAAAGACCATCGCCAGACATTGGCCATTGCTTGGCCAAAGTCCGTGCTGCTTGGGGAGAGAACCTGCATCGTCGCAACGCTGGTCTTCTCGCCATAATAATGATTGAACATTGCCATCACCTGCGTTACTATTACTAATTCCTTCATGTCTGTTTTACTATGTAAAAATTTCACTGCGTTCTCGTTTACATATTGTTTAGTGTCCTCTGTCGCAACCGTTGCATATTGTCAGCATCAGCTTTGTTATTCTAAATGGTCTTTTGCATGCGCAAATTGGACAAAGCTCCTATGCGCTTTGATTAATGACAGGCGAGTTGTCTTGGCCACACTTGTTGTGCAATGTCATAATTCGCTAAATGATTACATTTCAAATTGAAGAATATGTATTAATCCACTTATTTTTGATTACTACTTACTCCTGCGTTTATTTTTTGTGTTTAAGTGCATATCTGAGTTTTTTGTTGCTTTTCTTATTTGGAATTACTATTCCTTTTTCCTCGGCCCTCAAAGCTGCGACGCATCGCTAATCTGACCCCTTCGCCAAAAAGAGTTTGGAGACTTCTGATTTAAATCATCCCGTATTTTATTCTCCACTCTGATTCCAAGCAGTTATATAGGCACTGACAGCCTACGAAGGGCAGGGCGTGGCCTATTGTGTTCATTCACCCTTCTTGCTTCGTGATTGGTTCTCCGGCGTTCTTATCGACTAATACTGCAATATCATTGGCTGCAAAGCGACAATGAGATGCTCAAAACTCGCCACACCCTGCGCTACTTCGCGTGTCACCGACTAGCGTACTCGAAGCAAAAATTATCTGACATACGCTTTGGCAATTGGTTGCTCCGGTTTTGTTAATTATATGCTCCGTTCCAAGTTTTCATCAAAAGCAAACCACGCTTCTCCCGCAAAGCTCTCCACTCTTTCCGCTTTAGCAGAACGAACGCTGGAGAAGAGGAAGCCACCAATCACGGCAAAGAAAAAGCTTTGTGCCTTTTTTTTTTTTTATCGTGGAACGAATTATAGGCAAAACAAAAGGAAACATGCGAGCACATGGTCGAGCTGAGAAAGTAAACCATTAATGCTCTACTAACTTCGGAGCTTCATGGACTGTCGATTGAAAAGAACAAGCCGCCTACTGGTCACCCGAAATATTGTTTCGCGGAACTGCGTATTCATGTGGCTTTTCGTTTAAAGCCAGCTGCTGAAACTGAAACGTGCTTGAAACCTTTGTGTACAAAATATTCTCAGGGGCGGATCCAAAGCTCCGAGAAGGCGTGAGGGAGGGGGGGGGGGGGGGGGGCGCCGCTTTTGTCGCCCACCGCTTGGATCCGCCCCTGAATATATTTGACGTGACGGGAAGAACTGCTTGATGCTTGTTTCTTGAGGTTGATGTGGCACTGCCAGCTGGACACAGCAAGAATTACTTTCAATTAGTATGTAAAGTGACGAATTGATGAGGGAATAATTAGGAATGTTTAACAACTAGACTGCTTAGAATTATTTATTATTTCAAAACACGTCTACACATTGTTCTTTTTTTTTCACAGATCTGTGACAGAAATCAAGCTTGCATTGTAAAGCCCAACGCAAGCATCGAAATAGAACGGGAAACTGAAAGAAGATATCAGGTTTTTGTGAATGAAACGTCCTGGTATTCAGAGTAGTCATAAGATACCAAGAACACTGGCATTAAAATTATCGTCTCTAAAAACATAGTCTAGAACAATATTTCGTAGGATTAATTTATGTGTTGCATATGAAACAAGTTGACACTTCGAGCCATGCCCTTTTATAAAACATCCTAAATATTGTTTAAGTACAAGAATCATTAGGCGCATCCTTGGCTGATCGTTTATTGTGCTTTTCTGAAACCAATCGTCACCCGCCTCACTATTCTTGGGGAAAATTTGATGTGTCCGTTTCTCGGAAACCAACATCCTTCGTCAACAACAATAATGAAAATCTTAGGCAAAAGGCAAGCACCTATAAAGAGGGAAAGACAAACTGAAGTCATCACTACAGGAAACTCCACACAAAATCAGTACTACGAAATGGCCATCAACGGTGCACAAAGACAGAGCCTCATCCAATCTAGCGTATAAAATATGATTCTTCCTGTGACACAAAGCAAACAAAACGGAATATCTATCTAACCTATTCAAAACTGTCTATGAGCCAAACGCCACCTCAGGAGAAACGCAGGAAAGTTTCGAGGGCCTCGTCTAGCTTTATACTCCCTGCTTTTAGAGCGCAGCTCTTAGGCGCCTGTTTACGGCTTGAGCGGCGTCGGCGTCGGCGTAACCGCGCGGTGCATTATTGGGAATGTCCCATAATGCACCGCGCGAGCCCCCCACCGGGGTCACGTGACCTCGTGGGGGCCACGTGACCCCCCGAGGTTACGTGACCTCCCGAGGTCACGTGACCCCCGTTGATGTCGCGTGACCCCCCGATGACGTCATCGTCACTGACGACGTCACCGGCATCCACATCGTCATCGTCACTGATGACGTCATTAGTGACGTCACTGATGACGTCACCGGCATCCACATCGTCATCGTCATCATCACTGATGACGTCACCGGCATCCGCATCGTCATCGTCATCATCACTGATGACATCATCGGTGACGTCATGATGACGTTACCTACATCCGCATCGTCATCGTCATCATCACTGATGACGTCATCAGTGACGTCACTGATGTCGTCACCGGCATCCGCATTGTCATCGTCATCATCACTGATGACGTCATCAGTGACGTCACTGATGTCGTCACCGGCATCCGCATTGTCATCGTCATCATCACTGATGACGTCATCAGTGACGTCACTGATGACGTCACCGACATTCGCATCGTCATCGTAATCATCACTGGTGAAGTCATCAGTGACGTCACTAATGACGTCATCGGTATCCGCATCGTCATCGTCACTGATGACGTCCTCAGTGACGTCAGTGATGACATCATCGGCATTGGGGGGTCACGTGACCCCCCCCTGGTCAGTTGAACCCCCCCCCCCCCCCCAGTACCCTTCCCTCCTCCTCCTCAAGAGCTGCGCTCTAATTCGGCGTTACAGAGAGTTGTAAACGGCTTTCACTTTTTTCGTCGACGTTCACCATCGATCTTGCTGCGAGAGAAGGAATCATTATTATCACAGTTCCTAGGAAATAAACGACTTATTACTATCGCCGTTTTTGATCCCAACACCAAATCAGAAGGAACATGGGAAAATTTCATCTTTTCTGTTTTTCTTGTTTTTAAAAATCAGTTTGTTCGCACATAGGGGCTCGAAGGCGTCGCCAAACTGTAATGTTACTGCTTTTTTTCTCGACCTCCACAATCAATGTTCATGGGAGTCAACAAATTACAATTATCGTCATTCCTAGCACCTGCACCAAACAAACGCTAAAGCGTACTAGAAAAAAAAATGCAGATTTTTTTTAAAAATAAAAGTCTTAACACTAACAGCCTACTTATAACTAGGTGCTGTGTTTTTGGTATACAAGGATAAACCTCGAAAAGTAACCCTTGGGCTCGTTTTCTTTTTTTGGTCAAAACTTGAAGAAAAAATACCCCAAATCAATACTGTCCTGGAATAAAAAGAGAATGCCAAGCTTCATGGGACGATGTTGGTATTTAGTTTATAGATTAAATTTTCCTTTTCACCTGAACACAACACTACACAACTAAAACACTTTTACCATTTTTTTTTCTTTTTGCGGGAAAGGGGGGGGGGGGGGCATTGTGTGTCGTTTAGTTTTCTTATGAGCACGGGGTTGTTTTCAAAGTATTCGGGTAGCGCACATGTTCCCTGGACTTTGATAAATCCCAACGCAATAGTCCGTTTTTTTTTTTTGTTTTTTTTTACATACATTTTATAAAAGTCAAGTTTTGCCCAGTACCAAAAGCCGACACCTAAAAACACCACATCAATGCGAAAAACATAAACCCCGAAAAACCACCCCCGAACTTGAAGAAAAGTAAACTCCGAAAACACGGAACCGTAGTTATCAACTTATACTACTTTACGCTTTAATTAAATTGGGATGTTACGCCACGAATACGGCAGACCCTAAACAAAGATTTCACGATCGAAAACTAGCTGGGTGTGCTCTGCACGGCACTTTAAGCGCGAACGCTACTTCGGCGCTTTTTGACCATTTACTTCCAATCGGTACAATCATTCATTGCTCAGGTAGTACTCCAGCTTAGCACTGACCACCGCCGTAATAATTTTGACGAAACCCCTCCAGCACTGAAAGAAAAACAAAGAAAACTGGCAAAGGCGTGTTCGCGCTAACAGTGTCGCGGGGTGTACTTTTCTTAAAAATGAAACGTGAAGTCACTAAGCGCAAAACAAATCGCATCTCAAACTCGCCAGTTTCTATCGTCATCATCGATGCCTTTTGTCGCGCCTATTATCATTTCGCAAAACTGTTGTCGCGAAGCACAAAGCGATGTCCAGGTTATTACAAAAATCAAAAACAATGGTCCTTTTTAACATGAAGACGACACCACGCGGCAAAAGCTCCAACGACTTTGGCGTCCTAAAGGGGAGTTTCTCTGCATCTACAGTCACTTCTTGGGAGTCGAGAAGGAATGAGGGCTATATAATGAAACTGCGTTTCTGGAAGTCAACAATAATTCGAGTTTTCGCCGTTCTGCTCATCGTCCATTGTGTTTTTTTTTGTTTTTTTGTTTTTTTGAAAAATCTTGTGATTGTTCTTTGAGCGAATGTTGTGCCTGAAACGCGGTGCTGTTTTAACAAGAGCTGAATGTCAAACACCGTATAGAAAGGACAAGAACATGAGCACCCGGAGCACTTGGTTCAAAAGGTTACCAATTTTATTTAGTTTCCACACGAATCAAATCGCAGTCAAAGGCCATGGCCACTGACATTTTCAAGGCCCGTTCACATACTTGTGTTTAGAAAAACCGCTACGGCTACCAACGAATAGACCGATCTCACCAAGCGTTCGACGCATGCGGGAGGCAGCCATAACTTTAGTTCGCAGGAGGCAATCGGCAGTGCACAAGACTGTTCGTGCCGTGCCCTGCACGCGCAGAGCTCCAGCGAGGTTATCGCGCGCCGCAGAAAGACTAAAGTTCCCTCGATGTATTTCTGCAGCGGTGGCGTAGTCAAACTGGCTGGTGAGATCGGTCTATTCAACCGATAAGAACGACGAGTTGCCGTGGCAACGAAACGCCAAAGGGCCATGTCCTTCATGTTCGTTCGCAGCACAAGAAGTTGAGCCGTGCTGAACTTCTTCACTAGGTTTTGGAACGAACGGAACGACCACACGGACAGACCAATCATGTCATGGGTCGAGGAGAGATTGGCCGCGCGTTGCATGCCAGTCATGGTTCCAGCCATCTGCTGAAAAACATGGCGTGGTGATGGCCGCCGACGTGGTCGGCGTGGTCTGAATTCTCGCCGTAAATTCATAGCGCTCTACGCGCATGAATTCTCGTCGTGTGCAGCGATAATAAGTCAGAGCGACCGAATAGTGTTTAGTGGTCAGTGCGACGACGTTTTTTCGTACTGCTGCTTTATAAGCATCCTACTTTTGATGTCAACTGATATTCAAGTATAACCCTGGCCCCATGACAAAGAAACGGGAAGCGAGCTAGGATCTTTATTATCAATGGTACAACAACTTCAGGAAGGTTGAGATCAGAAACAAAGAGAATCCACAGCAGCTGGCCTAGCTGTAAGTTTAACAACTATTGAGACACGGATTTCTGGCTTGAATCAGTTGAGCCATGAGCTTACGGCTATGGGAAGCTCCCTCTTCTAAATATTCATGCGTTTAACTGTTGCGGAATCCCGATGTGAAGACGCGGAGTATCGATTAATTGGTGGTCTAACCCTATGGCATTCGGGCTACGAAACGCGGAAAATAAAACATGGGCGATTTCCGAGGAGCTTGTTCTTGAGATGTGCACCACCAGCTTCGGGTAAGCTTAGATTGCAACTGTATAAAAAGAGCACACTGGCTTAGGCATTTTAATCGTACAAAAATCGACCAATCATCGTCAAATTCCCAAATACTCAGCACAAAGAGTCTTTATTCGGGGTCGCCCATAAACTAAAAGATAGTAAATTTCTTCCAGCTAAGACCTTTCACAAGCTGTCCGAGATTCCCGACGGAAGCTTCTCGAGTTTGCAAAAGCTTAGATTAATAAATTAAAGCTGCGTTTTAACAAACGTTTCTGGCAAATAGGTGTTACACTTTATACGACATAACCAGCCGTTCTATTGCTCTAGTGCCTAAATAGCTAGCAAACAAGCAAGCTCATATTTTAAACGCTCCCGAACTATCAGTCATTCTCACTAACGCACGTGGTATTCTGCCAAAACGAGTTGAGTTGCAGAATTTTATTGATTCAACTTGCGCTGATATTGTTGTCAGTCAACTAACGAATTTCTTTATTGATTATTCAATTAAAGGGTACCGATCAGTGCGGTTAATTTTCTAATCAAACCGAAGGTCCGGTCAACATTCAATGTTTTATGAAAGCTGTGATTTGTGGGAGATGACAAAAATATGTGGGACCAGTGGTTGTATATAAACCACAACACTAAGATTATGGAAGCTTCCTACTTAATATTAATCGCTTCGCTGAATTTCCCCGCATGTGATACGATAAAACAGAACCTTT